TCTATCTATCTATCTATCTATCTATCTATCTATCTATCTATCTATCTTATAGAAAGTGTATTCCTATTAATTGCTGAAGGATGTCTATGCTCTGTTGAAAGGCGTGAGAAAGACGCCCTGCAGATGAAACTTGTTTAGGTTTTGAATGGGTGTAGTAGCAATCAATGGACAGAGGGTGGCGGAAGAGTGCGATTTTTAAATTCTGATTTAAAATAAACTTAAAGTAACATCATATTTCACAGATCAATGTTAGTTTTATCATCAAATTGTTAATGTAAATCATACAGCGTATATAAGTTAATTATGTATCAACTATTAATCTTTAAGTGAGAGCGGAACAAGGAGGCGGAGACCTGACGTTTTTGTTACTTTCAATTTCGGTGCTACTACTCCAACAAGTACCACTCCTCGCTTGAAACAGCACTTTTAGCTTGTAACGCGTCTGAAATGATGGATTTTGCTTTGAGCTGACCTCCTTTACAGATGTCTGTTGGATCTAGCTCAACACTTCCTCGTTTGTTCCGTTGAAGCGACGCAATGTGCGGGCATCATGGACGCCTGGCTGCTGGCTGGCTGGCGGTTGTCATTGTGGCCGCCGTGTCCGTGGACTCGAGTGAGTTGCTTTCTGCGTTTCTGCCTTGGCAGCGAGTCCTTGTGCCGTTTTGTGTGTGAACATTTGCCGTTGGTTTGTGGCGGCATTTTCATTTTCCCATGTGGTGGCCCCACCCAGTGCAAACTGGCCCAGAAACATTTCAGAAAGTGTTCAGGGGAAAGGTGGTGAGTGCAGCGATGAGGCAACGAGAAGTGAAGGAATAGGAATAAGAAGAGCAGATTGGAGTTTACGGTTAAATACAATGGAATAAATAAACTTCCTGCGCATTATAACACAGTTATGATCAAACCAAAATGGAAATGGGTGGGAAATTAACACGTAAGAAATAAGCAATCAAGGTTACAATAACAAACAACGTTCACTGCACTTTTTCTGTCTTGGCAGAGGAAGTCTACGGGAAGGTGGGTGGGGAAGTTGCCCTCTCACCAGTGGAGTCTGTACCCACTTCCATCACCAGCATCTACTGGAAAGAGGGTCCTGACCTGGCCATCAACTGGGATTTTGGGGACGAGGCTCCCACTCCATATCGTAAATTTAAAGGTAAAACTTTGACCCTCCAGGGGCTGCACTGTTCATGATTCAAAGGGATTTTTTGGAAGTTGACCTGAAAAGCAGATGCTGCTTTTTTTTTTTTTCTCGGTAAAGAGCGCGGCCAGCTGAACACCGCCACCGCAGTGATGACCATCAGAGGTCTGACTTTAAATGACAGCGGCGTGTACACACCAGAGATCAACATTCAACCGGGCACTCCACTTCACCTCAGAGTGATCTGTGAGTTTGACTACCTCAGCAAAGCAGCGTGAAATGTTCCAGCTTCAAAGTTGGCTCTGTGTTATTTTCTCTCATCTGGATCTCTGATACCGACAGCTGGGGTCCCTGTACCTGAGATTAAAGCCTCCTGTCCAAAGGGGGGGAGAACATGCGAACTGATCTGCGATGGAGATACAGAAAAAGCGGGACCCGTCAACTACACATGGAAGTTTGATGATGAAGTGATGCCATCTCCCCCTGGGAAAAGTTTCCCCATAAATGTTTGTTGGGTATCTTTTCTGTCTTTGAGGCTGTGTTCAATACACCTTTAATACTTATGTTTAGCAATCAGCTGAGATTTTCCCAAAAAATTCAAGTCCCCTGGTCAAAGTTTGTAAGAATATCAAGACAAATAATGAGCCAGCTCTGTAGTTTCTCTGAGTGAGAACACAGAACTTTGACTCCCATGGCGCAGACCTGGATCTTCACTAAATGAATCAACGGTCACTACCTCCACTAAACCCATACTGCCAAGTTTGTAACGCCCACACTTTCGTGCAAGCAGCATGAATGCGTGATGAATGCAGAGATTGTGCCTCTTGCTTCTCTTCATTATTAGCTACCAGAATAGACTACACAATTGAAACCAAAAGTTTGGGGGCCATGGTACTTGTTGAGCAAATCCACTCAGAAAATCGCCAAACGTCAGAATCTCATAGATTTTCCTTCTGCTTTGAAGAAAGAATCCAGCTGTGTTTAGATGCTGAGCACCACTGAGAGGGAAGTAATTTATCAATGGTTATAATAGCCTACACTAAAATATTTTTTTTTTATGTCACAGCTCTCTCATATGGACATTTCAAGTGTAAAAATGTTCAGCTGTGAGCTGCACAATCCAGTCAGTACAGAGAGCAGCAAACCCATCCCCAACAAGCTCGTCAGTGCCAGCGGTGAGTAAACACCAAGAGAATTTTCATAAGCAGCACATGGGTTTATCACATTTATGATTTGTGCACCAATATCCCTGGATCAAAAGGGATACTGGGAGTTTTTTAAAGTAGGGCACTCAGTGTTGTCAGTACCTGAGCTGCTCTGTGCAGGGGTCAGGCAGCCTGACCTCAAAGAACCCGTTATATGACTTTTCAGAGGAGAGGTTTGTTGTGGACTTCTATTTTCTAAAATGCCATTTGCAGGAAAAGATCTCCTGCATTTGTGTGTCAGTAAATGTAAAGCGTATTAAAAAAACAAACAATCCACATGCTTCTAATTTTCAGAAAAGACAAATAATCCGAGAATTTCCACTGGGGTGACGGTGTTCATCTGCCTGCTGCTCCCTTTGCTGCTGCTGGCGTTGTTGCACAAATGCAAAACTGGTGATCATGCTTTTTCTCTTCCTCTGCACATTATTACTTTTGTTCATATACAATGCCCTTAAGTTTTGTTTTAAAATCTGTTTTTTTTTTTACTCTCTTTCAGGGATGTGGTTCTTTGAAAAACGTAAGTAGCCTAAACTATTTTAGAGCTTCAAATTGTGACCAGAAGGAATTAATGTGTAAACCCTAATTAAAACAGTTGATCAAAGTTAAAGTTGTTTTGAGAAGCCCACTTTTGTAGATAGCCTTAAATATAGTGTTCAAATACGGTATGCTGTAAAATTGTGCACATAACATACGGAAAGACATCAGCAGTGATCTTAAAGGACAAATATTTACTTAGAAATCCATTCCATGCTATACTGATCAGATATGTCTATAACAGTTCAGTTTAGCTTCTTTAACATTATCTCTGCTGTGATTCTCTCCTTGCAGCATCAATGCCTTGGGAAGGAGGTAAGTTTTCTAAATGTTGTGCCTTTGAAATGAAAAGCCCAATTTTCTGTGTCGCATTTTCTATTAACTCCCTTCCTTTTTTCCCTTGTAGACTTCTGGAGGAGGAATGAGCGGCAGCGTAAGTTTCAGGAACTCTTAGCATTCTACATTTGTCCAGTAAGAAAAAATAAACCCATCACTTTTATGTTAAACAGAGGGTGATGGTAATGAATCCAACGGAACAACTATGAGACAGAGGGAGGAGCCAGATGGTAAGATACTAATGAGGAGGGAGAACGACCTGCTTCTCCTCAAATATGTGCAACTCCTCTTCCTCTTTATGTGATCCCATTGCAGAGGAAACGCCAATAAAATAGAGAGGCGGACACTGCCCGTCAGGACCTGAAACCAGACCATCATCCAGCCTCTTCCGAAACTGAAATAGGAACTCCAAAAGGTGGAAAATCCCAACAAGTACACTAAAGCCCACGATTGGCAAAAAAAAGATATTTAGAATAAATGATGTACATTAAGGTATATCATTGCTTTGAAAACTAAAAAAAGTGACAAATCAAAATCAGGATGAATTCAGGTCCCAGTCTTACTAATCTTTTCAGCAAGAGAATCAATACTTTTAAACATTCTTCCGTACAACAAAGGGAAAAGTGGATGAGCGTGCAGTGAAGAGGACTGTCGTTTAACCAGGAGCCCAGGACTAAGGGGAACCTGGGTAGCACACTGAGCGGACTTTCCTGAGCTTTTGCGAGAGTTTTTTCAAAGACTGACAACTCTGAAACAATTCCAGGAAGCCCAGCAAAGTGCCGCTTCCTGTTATGGACCACATATCTGACACTAGCTGGTACCTCAGAGTCTCCAAACGGAGGCGGTGGATGCGTCGGGATCCAAGGCGGGTCTCGTGCAGCCTCGGTGAACTAAACTGACCATTGTGTGGTTGGAGCCGCCAGCTCTACCAACAATTAAAGCCTTGTAAAGCTCTGCTGACCGTAGACACTACATGTATCGGTGCTGGTTTGTGGCAAATATGCAAACTTGCAAAACCACTGTTGAATTTAGAGCTTAATTTCTTTGCCATGGATGTCCTGCGTAATACGACTGGCTTTTCACTCATGGTAAATACTTTAGCTGGACCTCTGAAGAGAATAGATGTTTTTGCACTTCATTCCCTTCACAACATTTTTAAATTACCAACTTAGGAATGTTTTAAACCCTGCTGTTACAGGACTGCATAACGTACAGCATTAGTCACAAAAATATACACAGATAAATATAAATATCTAAATTGGAAAAAAAGTCCCATAAATAATAGATCTTTTTTTAAAACACGAAAGGCACTGGGATGTTTTTACTTTTGGCTTTGTATTTATTGTGGTTTGATAATTAAAGAAACAAAGAATGTGGCTCTACAAAGGGCCTTTGAAATCACTGCACTGTCTCAATAAAAGCAACTGATATCAACCCCTTTGCAGTTTCTTCTTACTAACAGCTTTGGAAGCTGTTGACTACAGTTGAACCACTAGGAGGCAGCAAACTATCACCATCTAAAGTGACTGACCAGTCTGGTTTCTCCGGTTTGATGCAGCTCTTCATGAAGGTTGTTACACTAAACACGTCGCACTGCAACGCTGTCATCTTTGTTGGGTTGTGTCTTCAGAGAACAGATCACTTCCTTAACCGAAAAAAATTACCAAGAGATAACCTTTTTGCCTTTCAGGCATTGTGTGCATCTCGAGCTGGGACTCAGTTCAGTGGCTAGTTGTGTAAACACAGCTAAAGGTTTAAGTGCATTCACTGACCATCAGTTTTTCATGCCATGCTGGAACCACTACTTTCAGCGCTGTGGGAATTCATCACATCATGAACGCAGCTGCACAAACAGCTCAGTCAGAAGGCCTCTTGCTGAGACGCTGAACAAGAATCAGAAACTCTTGATGTTTTCATGCTGAGAGCAGCTGACGAAACAGGACAAACCCTAGTGCCTTAATACGTACCCCAACAAGTTTGGAATGCAAACTTTCCCACTCATAGCTGTAACAAAGCACTTTGCCATAGCATGCAGATGCCCAGAACAGACTGGATAAACCAGTTTAAACTGTGGCCATATTCATCGTAGTTTACATAGATGTCTTTTTCAACATATACCGTTTCATTAAAAACTGATGCAAGGCTCAGCTTTAGGTTTGTGGCTCTAAATGCATGTAGACTTGAATAAGTTTGAAGCATATAGTAAAGGCGTTCCATGCAAACCGGAGCCATGACACAGACTGGCTTGAGTTCGCCTCTGAATGTCTTGCACAGATTATTTTTGCGATATTCTTCATGGCTCTTAAACAAAAAGGCACTTTTCAAGTGAAGGCTTTGGGTTGTCAAAAAAGTTAAAAAAAAAAAAAAAACTTTTTATCCACCAAATGTAATTTAATTGTGAATAAAAAAAATTAACAGCTTTTCATACAGCATTGAGACAGGCTTACAGTATTTTTTCAGGAATTATATCAATTAATAATAAAACAAAGCTCTGTATCTACATTATGAAAATAAGTACAAATCCTATCCAGAAGTGAGTTTACTTGATCAGCCTGATCTACTCCGGCAACTGACCTCCTTTTCTGTAGCTCCTGCTGTTGCATAAAGTAACCCTGCATTCCTATGTGCTCTGCAGGACCAAGCCTGAGAATGTAAATGAGAGGGGAGCCAACTATTTTCCAACTGAACAGTCATTGAGGTACTAAGATTGAACACTTGGTAGAAAAAGTGTAAAAATGTGGAAATGAGTCATCCTGCATTACAATCAAAAGCTTGTTCCAATGTAAATATTACAAAATTATCAAATTGTCTTTGTTGTGCATCTGAATTATAGAGAATAAAAATAAGAAATTACAGCAAAGATACAAATTTGCTAAATTATCAAGTGCACTGCATTCAAAACTGCAGTTTATATTCATCATTCATAATCTGATTTTAAACAGAGATTTAAAGATGTGATTATCTGCATTAATAACCGGGCGATCCTGCTATTGAGGTCTGGTCTTTTTTTCTTTTCTTAAACGATTTTGACAATAATTGTAACAATGAGTACAGCAGGAGTGTTAAAAAAAAGGCATTTTCCTTTCTGAACTGCAGAAAGGGACATTACAAATGTCCTTACTGTGCTTTACCTGTTTTCTTTCTCCTAGCTCTAAAAAGAACATTGCTGTTTAGTGCCTTGTGTTGAATAAAATAGTTGAATCTGCTTTTTTTCCTCACTTGTTCATCACAAAAACAAAAGAACAAAGCCCTCTGTGGCTGTCAGACATGGGCAAATTAGGCACTTCTGTGATTGAGGCACAGAGATTCCTGTGAGCATTTCAACATAAACACATGGTGAAAAATGATTGATCCCACTGAGGATATAGAGCTTGCTGGCAAATACCCAGGTCTTACTTGTCCAAGGAAGTTGACAGCACATCCCTTGTCATTAAGCTTTGGCACTTTTGCCATTGGACAAAGGTTCTGCCTCCTGGTTTACGGCCACGGGGCTGAGCTCTGTGTCCTGGCTGCCGGCCGCCCTTCCTTCCCTGGCCTGGTTTCTGCAGTGGCGGCCGATGACCACGGCAGCACAGATCAAGTAGATAACAGTCAGGAGGGTGAAGTAAGAGAAGTACACCATGAACTGGAAGAGAAAGAGTTAATGTTGTCAAACACTGATAGCAGTTATAATCAGATACTATCTGGGGTGGTGCTGCAGGAGCCATCACAGCATGACAAAGATCTATCAGCGGCTTTAGTTTTTATGGAATCGTTTACTTTCTTTCCCCCAGGATCTCAAGTGAGTCAACATGAGACGGAATTATTTCCATAGCTCATCTCATCAACCACCAAAGCGTTTACCAAGAATTAAAAGGGAATGATTGCAATTCTGTCACTTGAGCGTTTTATCTGTACTGGCCCTTTAAGGCATGGAAGCAGTTAGGCCGCAGTCTCTTTGAGGGCCTCCCTCCCTTAAAGGAGTCCTTCCACAAGCAGGCCAACTAATGGGATTGTTCTCACGGTGAATTTTCTGAACTTCCTGGACACGTTGGGCTTGTAGCAGATTTAAGTTTAAAGAAAGAAGCGACTGATCAAGTGTTCAGAGCCGAACTATAATGTCGTTATGTGAAATAGGAAGTGCTTTTAAAGGAATTTCTCTGCTGAGCCCCATGTTTTCCAGAGAAAACCCCATATCCAATCACACAATTTTCAGACTTTCATTTACTTAATCAATTCAATCATTTAATTTTCATTATCTACTTTTAATTTAATTGAATGTGACTTGAAAGGTATTCCACTCCCTTTCTGACATGAAAATATATAACCCCCCCCCTCATTCTGTTAACACTTAAGCTTTTCTTAAGTGTCAGTATTTTGATGCTTTTTGGTTGCAACAGTTGAAACAAACCATTTGAATTTTAGATATTTCAAACACCTTTCAAATCCATTAAATCTGAAGTTTTATGAAATATTACCTGAGATTGAACATCCAATGCAAGGCCCCTTTTGTCTGAGATTATCAGGCTGATTGTAGTCTTTAGAATTGTCCCAAAGAAGGTGTTGACACCAAACACGAGGGCACACAGCTCCTTAGTGAGCGATGAAGCGATCTGGAAACTGTGGAAAGAAGAAATTCCTTTAGAAATATATAAATAAACTGGTTATGAATTTAAAGCTGGAATTGCCAATTTAAGAGACATTTTCCTGAAAAACAGCCTGAACGAAAGAGCTTTTAAAACTGTTTAACTGTTAAATTCATGAAAAATTGGGGGAAGTGGTGGTTTTCATGCCGAGATACTCACGTGGCGACAGGCACCAGAAACTGGTAGAAGCCCCTGAAAAGAACGTAGGAAATGTAGCACACCCAAATGCTATCCGTGGTCCCCATGATGAGCAGGAGCCCCGCCTGCACCGCCGTTATGACACCAATGACCAGTTCTGACCATACGTTCCATCGAATTTTGACAAAGCCTGCTGCGAAGGAAGTAATTGCACCTGTGAAGAAATAACCATTATTTACATCCTAAACTGTGAAACACAAAAGAAAATGGTTTGGAGAGAGATGTTGTGCTGCCATTGCCTCCATTCATACACACATTAAGTTTAATACTTGCAAATATTGATTTTGTGAAAATCAGCAACTACTTAGTGCTTCCAGGCTGCTATGGCTACCATCCGGAAGCATTATGGCTCATTATGATCAGATTTGTTTGGTAATGATGCTTTTACTGCCGCCACATGGAGTCCAGGTCACTGCCTTGTGCTTTACAGCTGTTTAAAGTGCAGTGGCTGATGTCATCTCTTCAGAACAGGTGACAGAGCCATAAACAGTCCTGATAAATCAGAGCTGAACCTTAACTGCGGGTCATATCCTGAGCTATGGGTGACCAGCTGTCCCCGAGCCTGAGCTGAATTCTCTTTCTTTGTTATGCAATATTTACAGTAAACCTTTATTCAAAAACAAGCAAAGAATTAAATGAAGATTTTTCAGAGCAACTCTCATGGTGTTCTGAATTTGTTGTTATCATTCAGAGGAGTTCACATGAACTGAATCTATATCAAGTATAAACCTGAATAATTCTCATATAGAAATCCATTTTTAAATCTGCAGGAATGTCTTACTTAGTAATGTCGAAGCAGCCTCCACTCCCCCGTTATAAACTCTGTTGTTCTCTGTGGGGGGGTAGACTTTGTTCCACAGGACGTGAACATAGAACAGCACCAGGTAATATCCTGTGGAGTTGAACACCCACCACAAGGACCAGAGCCTCAGGTTTGGCCTCTTTACAACATTTTTAACCTCCAGCAGCATCTGCACAAAGACAGAATCCTTCCAGCATGATGCCGAGGACGGCACTACCTCTTTGGGAATAATTTTGTCCAGTTCCGCTTTGCCGCCGGCCGCAGCCATTTTCTTTTGCTCCAGATTCTTCATCCGATTGAAAAACAAGGAGCGTTTAGGCCAAGGCAGGCACAGCGCAAGCAGCAGGCCAAAGCTGACGAAACCCAGAGAGATGGCGTTGAGGGTATAGAAGGTGATGTTGCCAAAAGAGATGCAAAGCTGGCCCAGAATGGAGCTGGTGAACACCCCTAAGAGGACTGAGGAGCGCGAGTAGCCTGCCACACGCTGATAGAGTGCCGGGGTGACCAGGGAGAAGATGTAGGAGGAGTAGGCCACGCGGCAGGCCATGGTGATGCCGTAGAAGAACTCCATGAACTGCATCTGAAGAAGTGAGCTGCCTAAGAGCAAAATGACCCAGATGATCACGTGACAGGTGCCCTGGATGATCAGGACCGGCTTGTAACGCAGGAAGTCTGTTAGCAGGAAGACCGGCACCAGCACCGCCATGTCTGAGTATGTCAGCACTGGAATGATCTCATTGGTCACCTGGTAATGAGAGAAATGCATTAAAGCTGCAGTCTAGTGTCAGAATGTGTCTTTTGATGTCACATATCAAAAGAATAAAAAAAAACAATAAAAACAAAGACGGGCAGAACAGAAAGTAGTGCAACACGTTTTCACAATCATTATACATACTCGGCACACAAATATAGAAAATCATAAACTGGAATACTCTAAGACAAAGAATATTTCACAGTTTCGTGATTGGTTGCTTTATCTCCACCAAAGTCAGCTGTGTGTTCCGGTGATCAAGTACTGGTCAGTGAAAAAATAACTAACAAAAAAGAAACACTGACCCAGTCTATCTCCTTAGACTACAGTTTCCTTACACAAACCTATTACGTTGACCCACTTTGGAGGAATGTGAACTTTGACCAGAATAGGATGGAACAGCAAAATCTTAATGGGAACTCATTCATTCCTCTGTGCATGAAACCCTGTGCAAACATTTTGTGGAAGCCTTATTTACAGTCTTACATCAATTTTAACCCTCCCGTATTCTTTTGTCTTTTCCTTGAATTAACCTACTCCAAATGGGTCTTCAGAAACACATTGATTAAAAAAGCCCACACTGGGGGGGTGCGCACCAACCTGTGCCACAGTGAAGTTCTTCTCCGAGCTCAGAAGATACGGCGTAATGAATGACTCCCCGGGTCTGATTGACGTCATAAAGCCGTACAAACACAGGAATATCACAGACCATTTCCACTTGTTGGCCTCGGTGTCCTCTGGGGGATCCTCAGAGGGAGACTGCGTATCCGGATCAGAGGCAGCCATCTCCACATCTTGATCATGTTTCTCAGTGTCCTCATATAGAGGTCCTTTCAGCTCCATCTCTTTCTCCACATCTGATCTGTCTCCACTTCCTGCTGTGTCATCTGCTGCCATTGTGGCAGCTGGCGTGGTTTCTCTGTGAAGCACAGTGCAACTCCTCTGCTGCGTCAGACCACCATGTGGCAATTTGTTTGAATTTGGAAAAACTTTAGACTTTCTACAAAAAGCCTCACTCACTCTGTGCCTTGCTTTCCACTCTTCTCTTTCTCCTGAGTCAGTGAGGACAGAAAGAGAGAAAATGGCCCATTGTACTGAGGGATGATGAAAACGGTAGTTAAAATGCTACATGCTCAGGGAGACATGTAAGAGAAGTGTTGACCTTTGCTCCATTCCACCGTGTGACATTGTTTGACAGCAAGCTATCCAGCAGCTGAGTGCTGGGTCTTTGTGAACCTGAAATGATAACAATGCTGTTTGTTAGTTAGGCTGTTCTGACGCTGCAATGAAGCAGCATTTGCACAGACGTGACTTGCTTGTTTTGCATGGAAGTTCAAATCACCGTTGTTGCTGCTGTTGCTCATGAGGAGCATCCCCCAACCGTTTTAGAGTCGGACCATTATCACAAAGCCACTCCAAAGTACCTTCTTTGGTTTATCCTGATTGTACAGAACACATTAAATCTGATTTATTTTTCCAATTGAGATCTCTTCACTGAAAACTTCTAAAATTGGTTTCTCAGTTTAAGCACAAAAATCTGATCTTGTCTGTTGAAAGTAAAAAGGATGTGTGAATACACAAGGATAAAGCTTATTCTTTTAAAAACATTTTTTTTAAAAAGAGCGTTTTCAAAATTTAGGTCATAGATGTGTGTGAGGGAACAGAAAACAAGTTACACAAACCGCTCATGGGTCAGTTATGTGTAAGCATGCAAGGGTCTCTCTCTCTCTCACATACACACACACACACACACACACACACACAAACAACCACACACACACAAACACAAACACACAATCCCCGTTAGCTGCTCATGTGCTAAACCTGACGTCAGGTTTTCGTTAATAACCACCCAAACACGGGCAAATGGTTTCAATGCGAGTGGCACAACCCAATCACAACCGTAACCTAACAGCTAACAATTTGTATGGCCGACTAACAATGTTCACAAAAAACCGAGTAGTTTTTTTAATCTTTTGTTGGCACAAATGATAAAACGGTACTTAACGGAAGTCCGTTGCACGGCGCAGTTTGCCAAGCACAAATAGAAACACTGGTATCCTGCATTGGTAAATTTAAGGAAGGTAAACACGAGTTATTGTGACAAACCTTACCTCGTGTAGTCAAAGACAGGCTGCACATTTGTAGACGCATGAACAGCAGTCTTCCAGTCGCACTGACTTCTGGGAGTTGCAGTTCTTAACGATTTAAACGCTTCCCTCTAATAGACTTGAATTAGTCCCGTTTTCGCCCATTTTCGTGATTTCCGTGCAATCAGACTTCGTGAGGGGGTTCGAAGTGTTCATGTGCCTGGTAAGTTTTTTGGCTTTATGCAGTCAAAAATGATAATTTTCTTCAATTCGTGATTTGAGGGTGCATGTGCATTCTAGTTTGACCCTCTTATTGGTGGGGCTTAAACATATTACGTTTAGAAAGTCCGGGAATCAAACCTCCCGCGCGTGGTAAGAAACAATGTCACTAAAGAACCACCGCTTCTTACATAATATGATCGAATGTACAGGAATAGGAAATCCGCATTCGGCTGACATCTCCTCGTTAGTATAGTGGTAAGTATCCCCGCCTGTCACGCGGGAGACCGGGGTTCGATTCCCCGACGGGGAGAGATACATATTTTATGCCCAGATGTAACGGAGTTTAAATGCATGCTCCATTTTGTAGAAAGTGAATTCTTACCAAAATCTTTCTTTCCCCTTTTTTTGTTATATATTTGAAACTATGTTAAATGTGACTGCTTTTTGCGTTTGCGCTTTTTGGGTGCTGGCGCTTGCCGTACCTCCAGCTACATTTTCCCGGGCTTGAGGTAAGCAGTGTTTAGTAGCGCTCCGGATATATAATAATATTTTATTGAATAAACGCACAGTTATTACACATTATTACTCGAATACGAGTGTATGTAAATAAAAATTACATGATTCGCTGAAAAAGTAATGATTGAACATGATGTAAACGTGTTAGAAATTAGTTGTAATATATTTCTGTGGTAACCATACAGTGATGTGCGTCATGAAAGAACTTTAATTTGTATTTCCTTTTTCGGTTGAATTTTAGTTGCAGTCAATAGAAGGAAGCCCTGGTCTCAATGATTTTATTTTTCATGAATGCAGGTACGTTGTTGTAAAGTGTTTGAAGATAAATTATCGTTCTCTTTACATTATATAATATCAGTTTGCTCGCCGTATATCGTCTGCCTTTTTATTTCCTCTGTACATTGTAACAAAGAGTGGCAGCTAGATTTTCCTGGGCTGGAGTTGCAGTCAATAGAAGGAAGCCATGGTCTCACTGATTTTGTTTTTCATGAATGCAGGCAGACAATAAAATCGAGTGGCTGAACCTCTGGTGTACTTCTGATCTTTGGAGGGTCCGTTACACAGACAAAGTCAATCAATGATAGTTCAAGGAAAATGTTTGATATAAGCCAATATTTTGTACTTTGAAAAAAACAACAAATCTTTACAAAAAGGACATGCATTAGCTGGAATTAAACACGGACCTCACCATTATTGATACTTCTAGGATAGTAATTGATAGGAACCAAAAAATAATATTACACATACGCACATTAAAAAACTAATTTGACATACATTGACCGGGAATCGAGCCCCAGCGTCACAATGCCGAACCAAAGAAAAGCATGTTTAAAAAGGAGACTTGCATTGGCCGGGAATCGAACCCGGGCCTCCCGCGTGGCAGGCGAGA